GCCAATCATCAGAGGTGATCATTAACTTGATGAGGTTTTGTCGCGATCGGAGCGACCGTGGGGGCCTACTGTTCCTCAGAATAGGAATGGTAAGCGGATTTTGTCAGAGGTTTAATGTTAACATGACAGAGGATGTCGTGATTGGAACGACTTTGAGGACCCACCATCCTTTAGAAGAGGATTGGTAAGTTGATTTTGTCAGAGGTTTGATGTTAACATGACAGAGGATGTCTGTCGTGATATGAACGACTCTAGTGGATCCGCCTTCTCATTAGGGAGACAGGCGAATTGAATGTATATGTCGTGATATGAACGACTCTAGTGGATCCGCCTTCTCATTGGAGGGGATAGGCGAATTGAATGTATATGTCATGATATGAACGACTCTAGTGGATCCGCCTTCTCATTAGGGGAGACAGGCGAATTGAATCCCACAAGAGGCTTTCGCCAGAGCGGGCAAAGAGGGTACAGTTTAGCCTCGTGTACTAGTCGGAGGTTTTGAGGGCCAGTTTAGACTCATGCACTCTTGGGAGTTTGCGAAGGAGCACTATGGGTAGTACTTTTTCAGGTACTTGCCGTTGATGGGCATCATGATCTTATCACCGTTCGGTTTGACGAGGCGATAGGCACCGTTTGAGTAGACTGTCTCTACCACGAATGGTCCTTCCCATTTGGACTGGAATTTCCCCTTCTTCTTGGAAGTGAGGATCATTGGTCTACGGACGGATAGGACGAGCTCTCCTTCTTTGAAGGCTCGGCGCTTGACTTTCTTGTCGAAACTCTTGGCCATCCGAGCTTGGTAAAACTCAATGTGCTGCTGAGCTTCCAGTCGCTTGTCGTCCAGTGCTTCGAGCTCTGCGAGTCGAAGTTGGTGATTTTCCTCAGTCGTCATCCCTGTCGCTAGGGCGACGCGCAGGGATGGAATCTGAATTTCTAATGGCAATACAGCTTCACAGCCGTATACCAACGAGTAAGGCGTGGTGCCAGTCGGTGTACGAACCGTCGTGCGATATGCCCACAGGCTCTCGCCTAGCTTTTCATTCCAGTCGCGCTTGCTAGTGGAAGTCAACTTGGTCAGGATCTTGATGATCGTCTTGTTGAAAGCTTCGGCCAGACCATTCGCTGAAGGGTTGTAGGCCGTGGACGAGAGGTTCTGTATCCGGAATTTGTCGCAGAACCTAGTGAAGGCATGGCTAACGAATTGCGTGCCATTGTCGTGAATGATACGCCGGGGTACGCCGTATCGGTAGATGACATGGTGCTTGATGAATTTGATCACGTCGCTAGTCTTGACTTCTCTTAAGGGGATGGCCTCCGCCCATTTAGAGAAATAATCAGTAATGGCGAGGATGAAGCGATGACCTTTCGCCGATGGTGGAGAAATTGGTCCAACTATGTCCATCCCCCATGCCTCGAAGGGCCAAGATGCCCTCGTCGGATGTAGATCCTCAGGAGGCTGGTGTATGTAGTTGGCGTGGATCTGGCATTCGTAACATCGCTTAGCATAAGCGACTGCATCAGTAACCATCCCAGGCCAGAAGTAGCCCATCCTTCGTAAGCGATCCCAAAGCTTGGGTCCGGGCTGATGAGCTCCGCACACGCCGTCATGTGCTTCGCGTACGGCTTCTTGCGCCTCTGCTTTTGAAAGACAGCGAAGTAGCAAGCCGTCGTATGACCTGCGATACAATGTTTTAGTGGTTGAATCGTAGTAGAACCGTGAGGCACGTCGTCGGACCGACTCTCGTTCCTTCGAATCCTCAGGCAACATGCCGTATAGGACATAATCGATGATCGGGAGACGCCAATCTTCCTGATCTGGCTGACCCGAGGCCTGATGAGTGGCGTTTGCCTCTGGGACGTCTGTGGGTCGAAAGAGCTTTCGGCTGGCGACAGCGACC